TCAGCATTCAATTGAACACCAGCTCACTGATTAAGTGCTAACTGCTAATGGCTGGACTCCACGAAGAAGAAGGTGGTTTCAGGTTCAGAGGAAGACTCATCAACCTACTTATACAGATGACACAACCTTGTTTGCCAAAAGTGAAGACTTACAGTGTTCACTGCAGAAGATCAAAGAATACAGTCTTCAATTATGGATTGCATTTCACCATGAATAAAATAAAACTACATACCAGTGGACCAACAGACAACATCATGGCAGATGCTGAGAGAAGACTAAACCTGTCAACAACTTCATCTTACGTGGATCCACAATCAACAGTCAGGAGATTAGGAGGTGTATCACTCTGGTATAGGGTGTAGTCAGGGACTTCTCCAAATTATTGAAGAGCAGTGATGTCAGTTTGAAGAGTAAGGTGCACCTGATTCAGGCCATGATCTTATCAACCACTTGCTTTACATCTGAGACCTGAACAATGAATAAGGATAAAAGACGAATTCATGCCTTTAAGTTGTGGTGCTGGAGAAGAATACTGAATATCTCATGGACTGCCAAAAGAAGAAGCAGGTATGTCTGGAGAAAGTGCAGCCAGAGTTCTTCTTGAAGGCAAAAATAATAAAGCTTCACCTAACGTACTTTGGGCATGTTCCCAGGAGAGGCTATCCCTTGGAGAGGACATCATGCGTGGAAAGGTGGAGGGTCCGTGCAAGACAGGAAGACCCTCAACCAGATGGATCTGACAAAATGACTGCAGCAACAGGCTCGAGCATGTCATGTCAGAGAGGATGAGGCTGGTCCAGGAGAGGACACGGTTCAGAGCTGTTGTTAATAGGGTCACCGTCAATCTACTCAACTCAAGGGCACCTAACAATTATTACTAGCTGTGTGCTGCTGGATAAACCATTGAACTTTTCTGGGCTACCATTTCCTTATCTGTAAAACAGAAACAGATAAAGAGATTTTTTAAAGGCCTTTTCCTGGTTTGAAAATTTTCTAATTTTATATACTACCTTATGGCATTTCACCCCTATTATGTGATTTCAGAATGCCTGAAGGAAGAAAGTACATCTTCTGTTTCTTCCCCAGCTCCAGAACTTGACTCAAGAAGATGCTTGGTTTAAAGAGACTAACTCAAGGACTGAAAAAGACCACACAGCACTGAGTTAGGAGGTGGCAGCAGAGCTCAATATGAACTTTATACCTATTTCTAATTAGGAAACTAGTTCTCTTCTGGAGCCAAAGGTCTGCTCTGACAGAAGGGAAGAACAGAATGACCACAGATGTGAATATCCAAGATGGTCTTTTCATTGTCGCGCTGCTCTGTGTGTGAGGTTTATGGGCTACATAAGCTTAACAGTAGGTATGACAGATGTTCAACGGTAGAGCACCGGGGAACCTGTTCACTGGAGAAGGAGCCTGAGTGGTGCAATGGCTGTCTCAGCTGTGAAAATACAGCTCTGGTCTAAACTCTCCAGTGCCATGAGGGAGAATGATGTGGCAGTCTGCTGTTCTTGTCATGATTTACAGTCTTGGAAACTCTACAGGGTAGTTTTACTTGTTTCACAGGGTCACCAGGAGTTGGAAGTGGAGATGGTTATATTTACCAGAGCCCCTGTGGTGTGGTGGTTATCGCATTTGGCTGCTAACCCCAAGGGCGGTCGTTCATTACTGGAGAACCTCTCGCCTGCTCCATTTTTCCTGCTATGTACTGTTTCATAGCTGACCCTTCAGTAGGTTTTCAGAGGCAGTAAAGCATATGCGTGGAGGCTGCCCATCTTCTCCCATGGAGCACCCAAGGATCTGAACCAAGTGCCTTTGGATGGGCAGCGCGAATCTTTGCCAGCAGAGCTCCCTAGCTTGCTCTAGTAAAGGTGACACAATTTAGGATCATTTTATCCATGCAAAACCTAAGCCCAGCCACAGAAGAGCAATTCCTTCCATTCTGCATCCCGCTGTGTCACCACTAGTAAGAAAGAAAATAACCAAAGAAATAACAAAAGCAGGTATACGGAAGCACTGTTCTATTTTAGGTGTCCCGTAGAATATTCTTCTTTCCCTCTCTTTTCTCAGGGCAGTATAAGGAACGAATGGAATGATAAAAGGCACAGATGTGGTCTGCAGGACACAAGGAGTTGCGGTTAACGAAGAATTAACCACAAGGTTAAGGGCTCAGCTGCTAACTTAAGTATCTACAAGTGAAACCGACCCACTCCACTGCTCCAACAAGAAAGATGCGACAGTCGGCTTCTACAAAGCCTTCGGGACCCTGCGGGGCATTTCTACTCTGTCCTAGAGGGTCACTAGGAGGTGGAATGGGCTCAGATGGTGATGGGGTTTTGTCACCAGGAATACAGAAGGAGCCAGAGGATGCAAGCCTTCTGAAACAGGAGACTAAGCTCCTCTAGCTTCAAATAACATTGATTCACTACTCACATAAAGGCAAATATAGGCCTCCTTCAACCAAGTTAAACCAATGTGACTCCAGTTCCTGCTAAACAAGTGCTGGCTCAAAACCAAAATCCACAGGAATTATCAAATCAAAGTCACACTATTAGAGAAGATGTCCTTTTTTCCTATCAGCTCTTAAAACAAAGCAGCGGCTCCTCTTCCCTCGGCTGTTCCTGGTGAGGACACAAAGGGCAAATACAGTATCGTCATTCCTTTTTTTTTTGGCATGAAGCCACAAGATTACTAACAAACAGCTAATGGCCACCAATCAAAAGCAATAATGACACTATGACTTCATGTCTCAGTTATCTATCATGTTGGAAAGAACCAAATATCTGCATTTTTCTTTTCTCTCTCCCCAAAGAAAATCTGAAAGTAAAGGTGAACACAGATTCACTTTCTCCACCATCATCCCAGCTGCTGCTAACACAAATCTGTGCTGGTGGAGGAATGTTAGACAGACTCCTTGTCTTCACATGCTCAGGTGTTCACAGATTTAAGCTGAAGAACTTAGAAAATGGTCCCATCTAAAGCAGACTTCAGTGACAGCAGTTAGGGACTGCCTTGCCTAACAACTCTTAAAGAGACCTCACATACCAGGATTTTGTTTTAAATTATTACTTCAGAAGTAAAATACACTACATATTGAGACTTGAAATCAGGAACTGCCACCTTTCCAGGTTTAAGTTCCAGGGCATGCTAAATGGAGACATTTTAAGTCTATGTTTTTAAAAAACCTGGCTCCAGAAATTTGCACAGGACATAAATATAAGTACTCAAGTAGCTAATCTTATGATGAAATCCTGAGCAGTTTATCTGCTGAAATTAGTAATCATCTACCAAAACATCAAACTATCCCCGCTGGATACCAATGATACAGGGAAATTTAGCCATTTGGGTTACCTTTATTCTGTAAGAAAACAGATATCTGTCATTTTACAAACCAAAGCTGGTCTGTCTACTTTATGTCAATTTAGCACTGACTGAGATTACCCTCAAAAAGTTCTGTGGGATAAAAGCTATTTTTCAAAGAGTGGATTCTTTACTAAGCTGACTTCCTCTCAGAGGGCTTTTCAGCATCTATGAAGGCACTGACACCCTGAACTTGAAGAAGCGACAGGGCAGGCAACCTCGGAGGAGAAGGAGAACGGCAACCTCAGACTGAACCCCGGAGGAGGATGACTGCAACCTTGGAGTGGGATGACTGAGCCCCGGAGGAGGTCGGCTCTTCGGCAATAGGTGCAACAATCACTTTCAGTAGATCCACTTTTCTTTTTTTAAGATCCACACAATTTAAAAAAAAATTTTTTCAAAATCACACATCCTTTAATAGCACCATATTTTTGCATTTTCCTTGTCTTCCTCTTTGTCAAATTCTAAAAATTTCATTCAAATGGACAAATTCCTAATAATAATCAGAGGAGAAAAAAGTAAAGACTTATGACTCAGACAACATTTGATGTTTTCCTCACTGAAAGACAAAAGACACCACCTTAAAAGAATTTCAGCTCAAACCCTCAAGAGCCAGCCTAACCATTCCGGTCTCTGCGAGACCATCGGAACCCTACAGCACAGATGAGACTAGGGGACAAGGAGCCTAAAGTGATCGAGGTGAAACACTACAGCAAAAATAACCACCATGTGGACACAATGTGAAGAATGCAACTGACGTCACTGAACAGAATGTGTCGAAACTGTTCAATGGGAGAATGTTTTGCATGTTTATATTTTTACCAAAAACAGTAAAATATAATTGAATTTAAAACAATAAAAAGGTTGACAGAGCTGGGTAACACCCACTTCTGCAGAAAGAAATGACAAATCCAAAAGGGTAAACCACCCCACCAGCGGGTCAACCAGGTATTTAATATGTGGCAGGTGAGGTGCAGACCCTTGTGCAAAGGTGCGGCAAACGCAGCTCACTGCTCAACTGTCAGCAGGTTTCTTTTCTGCAATTAGTTTAAATGGGGTAACTGCTCAAGTGTCTTTAAGAAAATCAAAGTCTGATTTGTACAAAGGCATGGTGAATGTCACATTTAGAATGTCATGTACTTTTTCACCAATAAAGATACATCTGAGGCTCTGCAAGGAGGTCTGGCATATACTTCTAGGAACCCCTCTAAACGAGGGCAGATTAATTTCTAAACCGCTGAGATTACATTCTAGAAGACAGAAACCTTGGGGCTATAAATACTTCACGCGTATGTCTTTTTAAGAAGCTCCAGTTTTTATTACACTCTACGCTCGTCTAGGGGATACTTGCTGACCACAAGCCCATCGCTGACCACCTGCACCATCACCCGGATCAAAGCGCACCCCCCACCCCCCACACCCCTGAGGCGGCCACACAAAGGCAGTTACCGACCACACTCCACTCATCTGAAGTCATTTAATACCCCATCTGTGGCCGCTCCCCAGACCCGCGGGTGCCCGAGAAGGTGTGGGGTGCACGGAGGCGGAGCCGGCTTCTTTGTGTGCTGCGGGGCAGGGCAGGGCAGGGAGGTGAGGCCGAGGGGAGGCCAGCTCCGCCGGGAGCTCACGCCAGCACCTACCTTGAGGATGTCCCCCCTCTTGAAGCTCAGCTCGTCGTCCGCAGTAGCTTTGAAGTCATACTTGGCGATGGCTTCCATTCTGGGCGCTGCTCAGAGCTCGGCAGCTGAAGCAGGGGGAAGGGAGTCTTCCCTGCTGAGCGACCCGGCTCGGGGCTCAGCCTCGCCGCGCTCCGGGGACGCGCTCCTGCACTCCGGGACCCGCGATGCCACCCTGCAGCGGAACACGGACCATTAAGCGAAGTGGCCGGGATGGAAGGCAGCCCCGCCCTGGCGCGCGCTCCCAGCCCCCACGCCCCCCGGCTGGGCTCGGCCTCCGCCCTCCGCCCTCCCTCGCAGGCACAACCCCATCCTTCTTCCTCTCCGCAGCCTCAGCTCGGGACTGACAGGCCCGGCGGCCAATGGGGCGGCGGCTGGAGCGCAGGGCGCACACTTCCTCTTCCTGGCGCGGGGCGCGGGGCTCGGCCACCAGGTCCAGGGCTGTCCCCGCCTTCGCGCCCCGCCTCCGGGGATGGCACCCCCAGTCCGCCAAACAGACCTCCCCCCCAGCCCTTCCGCTCTCCCGAATGCAGGGTCCCCTGCTCCACAGTCAGCATATGCGAGAGTGGAGCCTGTCGCAGAAACTAAACCTGGATGGGCTCCCAGGAAGCGAAAGTGGACCTCAACTCCTTTCTCATTCCAGTTACAGCACAAGCGGTTCTGAGCTTCCACCTCCAAATGGAGCAGTGGTTTCGGGTCCCCTGGTGGCACCCAAAGTCTGCTGGTGGACACGGCTCTCGTACGGGCTCCCCCTCTCCGAATCGGATCAGATTGCCCTACAAAGTCCGAGGGCCCCAACAGTCCTTAAAATAGATGACCAAAGTCCAGCGTTATAGAAACAACCACACTATTTCTAACTAACCTAAGGGACACTTGAAAGGAATTCCTTTTTGGAATTTGAGCCGTCAAGGACCTCTGGGGAAAAATATAATGGAGACGGGGCAAAAGGTCCAACAAGAGTCTTCAGTTGCTCCGACCAGCAAGCAGCCTACAGCGTGAATCCCAACTGCACTTGGCAGAAGGTTCTATAAAGGTGGTGGCTCAGGTGGTGGTACCCTGGGCATGGCGCCACACCTGTGAAAGCGGAGTCTCCTTCCAGTAAGACAAGGAGTCCAGCGGCACTGGACTGCTACTGGACTGGAAGGACGGCAGCTTAAATGCGCCAGATCTTCAGAAAAAGATGGGCAGCTTCTTCCCTTAAGTTCTATAGCCTTGTAAACGGTTAAGGGGGTAGTTTTAAGTCAGGGGCACCAAGAGTCTGCACTTGACAATGACAGCCGTGGAGGGAGGGAGGCTGGGTTTGGGGTTTTGGCCCAGGACACAACCTGGGTCTTTGCATAACTCGAGGGAAACAGCCTCCTCTTGTTTGCGCAGTCACTGTTTTCATGCACGCTAAACAAAAGCACCAAACAACACTGGCAGAATGGGGACAGATATTTATAGTGGTACCTCTCTTGGATAATTACCACCTAGCAGAGAGCTCATTCCAGGGGGCATGGGTGATTATTAGTCTTTTGTTCTAAAGTTAACAATTGGGGCATTAATCAAGCAAATGAACTAAGCAGTAAAGCAGCTGGGAATATAGAAATGAGAGAAGAAGTAAAAAGAAAAAAATCAGTTGGCAATAAAAAATCCTGCAGCTCCAAACTGAAGACCAAACATTCTGATGCAGGTTAAGTCAAAAACCAAAGAATATGTAACAGAGGAAAGAGTTCTAGCAAATACAGAATAACACAAAGATTACCACGGCCATCAAGTAATTTCTGACTTAAAGCATCTTTCCACTGGGTTTCAAAGGCTTTAGATCGTTATGGAAGGACACTGTTCATCCTTCTTTGAAGGAGTGCCTGGTGGATTTCAACTGTCAACCTTATGGTTAACAGCCTGGCATGTTTGTTACACACTATGCCACCAGGGCTCCTTACAGAAAAATTAACTGCAGAACATTTTTATGTGTCCTTAAATTCCCTGATCCAGTACTCTCCTGTCACTTCACTTGCCTTAAATTAATTCATGTAAATTTTAAGAGAGCACTGAAAAAGCAGTTCTTGTTCTCAAAGCCTCAATCTTTCTCTTTTTGAAAGTTTTCTCTTTGTATTTACTTCTCATATGTCTACATAAGATGCTTCTACTGCTGATACTAGGGAGCCCTGGTGGCCCAATGGGTAAGAAGTTGCACTGCCAACTCAAAGACAAGCAGGTTCGAATCCACGGTAGCTCCAAGGGACAAAGATAGCAATCTCCTCTAGTGTGGAGGTCACATAATAACAATGCCGCCTCCCGCCTCTTGGGAGCTCTGGTGGCTTCGTCCTTAGGGAGATTCTCTGCTCACAAAGGTGTGCCACCTCTGCAGGAGTCCAAATCTCCCAGAGGGTCCTCAGGAGTAAATGGACAGTCTCCGCCTGTGTGATTTACAGCCTTGGAAACCCAAATGAGAGTCCGTAATGAGTTGTTTCCAACTCGACAGTGGTCTCCAGTGATGAGATGCTGTTCTTTCTTATTTTATTCCAGAGATTATCTATTACCTAGGAAATTAGGATTTAGTGGTTTCACCTGTGCCAATTTCTCAGGACTATCACATAACTAACTGTTCTTAGGCTGTAGAATGACTGCTTCCTCCAAAATATGTTATATGCTTATCAGTAACATTTTCAATTCATTTTAACAGATTTTGGTCTTAATGTTGAGACTACCTATCAATGATGAAAAACTAAAGAATAATTCAGCAAATATGAATAAGGAATTTCATTTTTGAGAAATGTAAATCAGAAAGAAACTCAAAACATAGTAATGGCATAAGCTAATTTCCTTCAAGATTTAAGACCAATGCCTTTTAACAGTAAAACCACCACTGAAGGGAGCGCTGGTGGCCTAGTGGCAAGAAGCTGCACTGCAATCCCAGAGGTACACGGTTCGAATTCACCAGATGCTTTGCTGGAGAAGGAGGGGCAGTCTCCTCCTGTACCTGTCAGATCTGATTTGACGGTACACACAAAATAATAAAGTAAAAGAAATGAAAAAAAAAAAAACAAACAAAAAACCACCACTGAGCCGGCACGAGCATGTGCCCGAGTGTGAGCGCACACATGCTCGAGGTTCAGTAATTATTAACTGGAGTTTTGCTACTACTCCCCAACTTCTCTGTTGCAGGTTTCCTAGAAACAGCTTAAACAGATGATTCAAGCAACTGTTGCTTTGTGAAATACAATTTGATAGAAAATGAAAACCATGCACAACCGATACTTCTGAGGCTGTGCCAAATAAAAATCTGCATGTTGTTATGTTCCAATGAGTCGCCTGCAACTCAGTGACCCAATGTACAACAGCTCTGAAGCTTGTTCTATCTTAAGTCAACTTCATTGTCTCTGACACACCTGTCTCCATTTGCCCAGTCACTGAGTCAATTCATTTCATCCAGGGTCTTCCTCTCTTGAACTGTCCCTCCACCCTTCCAAGCATGATGTCACTCTACAAGGTCTGGTACCTCCTTCCAATATGCCCAAAATATGTCAGACGAAGCTTCGGAATCCTTGACTCCAAGGAGCAGCCCGGTTTCACCCTCTCCAGGACGAGCCTGTTTGTTCTCCTAGCAGTCTATGGTATATTCAATATTTTTCTCCAGCTCCACAACTCAAAGGCATCAATTCTCCTTCTAACATCCTAAGTCACTGTCCAGCTCTCGGATACATAGTAAGTAACTGTGAAGGTCATGCCCTGTATCAGGCACACCTTAGTCTCCAGATTGATATCGTTGCTCTTCAATACTCTGGAGAGGTCTCTGACAGCAGATGTTCCCAATGGAATTAATCTTCTGACTACCAATGTTTACTAACGTGATATATGAGTATCTATGGCAGCTAGTGTGCTTAGTACTGGGTTATAAAAATAAAACCACAGAGCCCACATTCTAGCAGGAAATGAATTAGGTCAATATTTGGGAGAATAATTTGCTACTAACTATTGACAGTTGTTAAATGTATAACTTTTGGTAAAGAAATTCCATTTCCAGGGCTTATTTCACTGAACAAGGAACACAAAAACACAACGTGCATGTTAAACAACATAATGGACATTTTTATGTCAATTCACTGCATATATAAAAGTAGCTGAAATGGCCAATGTTTTGTCATCTATATATTTATCACAATAAAACCAAAACACAATGTACAAAATACCCAGTCAACTCAACAAGTGTACATGTATACAAGATATACCTGACCAAGGTCCACAAGAATACTTTAGGCTATCAATTTAAATAAAAAAATTTAAGCTAGAGAGAAAACAAAATGCAGAAAGATACAGTTTATTCCATTTCTGTAAAGGTAAATTAAACACATAATAACGATTATCAGATATCATCTCACCCCAGTAATCAACAACAGCAAAGTTCAGCAAAGCAGCAAACAACAAATACTGGTGAGGTTCTGGAGAGACTGGAACCCTTACCCTGACTCACAGTTGGTGGAAGGGTAAAATGGTGCAACCACTATGGGAGGCACTCTAGCGCTTTCTCAAAAAAGATAGACCCAACAATTGCACTGCTCGGAATATACCCTAAAAAAACCCAGATATGCCACCCAAACAGATATATGCACACCCATGTTTATTGCTGCATTATTCACAACAGCAAAGAGATGGAAGCAACCTGTGTCCAACAAATGAATGGATAGAAAAACTATGGTCTAGTTATACTATGGAATATTACACAGCACTGGAAAACAATGATCTCATCAAACGTTATACAACATGAGTGACCCTAGAGGACATTATGCTGAGTGAAATACCTCGGTCACAAAAGGACAAATATTGCATAAGAACACTGTTATAAAGGACTGACATGGGGAGTTGGAAAGAAATTAAAAAAAGAGTTGACAGATGATGAACAATGCATTGGAACAGATGAAGGAAAGAACTGTTTGGAAGGACTCTATGATTAGACACTGTATGTATGACAACAGTCCAGAGTAAAAGGTACATTGCAAAGTGGACTGGGGGAGGGGAAAGGGAGAAACTGCAACAATGAATGAATTAAAAAAAGAAGAAAGTGAACTGGGGGAAGGTAAGGGAGAGGGAAGGAAAATGTGCAAC